AGGTTTTTGCATGGCGGGTGACCAGCAGCACCACGTCCTACCTACGCTAAGCATGCGCGATGCGCGATTGCGCCAAGCTGCATGCAGAGGCCAGCCAAAACAATGCCGGCATATCTTCCTATAGCTGCGAATTCGTCATGTTTCACGTACGATGCAGGCAGGTAAAGTGCGCCTCGAGGCAAGCGAGCGGTGCGTCCACCAACGGGTCAAGAAGAAATCACGTGCAGTGCAAACAGTCAAGAGTAACAATCGCGATGTTCAAGAATTCAGCACAAGTTCGGACTCGAACAGCATTCAGACATTCACGCCGCGTGTCGTGCAAAAGATACGCATCAACAAAGTCTTTGATGTTGATGATCTATTCGTGATCCAAATGCGGAAAAGACATGAACAATGTCAGGCAAACGTTGCTACATCACACCTCGGCGCTACGAGATGGCCTGCTCGTCTGACCGAGAACCTGCATCTCAACGGCTTCGTCCGAGCCGGTAGGCGAAGAGCTTCGCCAAGGAGTCGATGCTGCGCTGACCTTCGACGTTGGATCTGCTCGACGCTCCGTGGCATCGGTTGGAGAACGTGCCCGTGTTTGACGAGACTCGGAGGGGTGCTCTGAAGCTTCTCCTTGCTCGCGTTTCTTGTCCTCTGAAGCTCGCGGAGGGTCTCGCACGCCGACGATGCCCTGTAAGATGCGCAAATGAGATAGAGATCAGGATGGCCCCTGCTTGCCGCGCGACATCATTCTGACTGACCACTTTGCGAAGCCATATGACAGCTACTACGAGAGCGTAGGCTGATGCCGCAAAGCAGGCCCAGCCAGCAGCTCGGTATCCTTCTAACAGTGCTGCCTCAGGAGACTTTGTCGAGCTTGCACGACGTGTAACGCCAGCAGCGATGGACTGCACAACGGTGCAAGAAAGTTCAGTCGTCTGGCGAGGGAAAGTAGGCAGGCTTCGAAGATGATGCTCACACTAGTGATGGCAAGGCCAAAGGATGTCGCTAGCCGGGTCGTCGTGTTGAACACGGAGCCAGCAATGGAAGCTTGACGTGGCCCGACGCTTTGCACAGCCAAGAGCTGTGCGCTGGGAAAAGCGAGATCAGGTCCGACTTGCAGTACCATGACCTTGCACAGCTCGCAGCTGATCAGCGTGGTGGATGTTTGGCGCAGAGAGGCGGATGTTGAGAGGCAGCACTCACCCAGAACATGCCCCTCCAGTAGCTCCATTGAGGGGACATGAGACTGAATATCAAAGCGGCAGCCATCACCATGAGATCGCCACAGATGATGAGAATGAAGGTGGACACTCTGCTGACGAGCCATCCAGCAGCCACGTTGAGGATCAGACCAACGAGCACGAGCGGCAGGAATCGCACAGATGTCTCTAGCGGCGCTGTGAGTTGAACTTTGGGCGAGGCGACAGACCAGGACGTTGAGCAGCTGTTATTGACGTTCCAAGCACATCTTTTGCTACTCACTTTCTTGAAGGAATAGCGTGCTAAAAAAGGAGAGGCAGTTGAAAGTCATCCTGTGGAAAG